AAGAATATTACAGAGATGAGGGGGAGTTGAAAGGCCTTGCAATTTGAATACTGTACAAGTTGTGCTTTAATAATTCCTTTAAAGAGCTGATATTCTACCTCAAAATAATAGTAAAGTCAGCCAGGTATGGTGATCATGGTGACTTGGGAGGCTGATACAGGAGAACTGCAAATCGAAGAACCTGGGCAATTTTGAACCTCTCTCAAAATAAAATTTAAAAAAAAATTAAGGCTGGGGATGTGGCTCATGCGGTAGCACGCTCGCCTGGCATGCACGGGGCGCTGGGTTCAATCCTCAATACTACATAAAAATAAAAAATAAAGATATTGTGTTCACCTAAAAAATAAATATTAAAAAAAACAAAATTAAAAATTTTAAAAAGGACTGGGGATGTAGCTCAGTGGTAAAGAGCCCCTGGGTTCAATCCCAGGTATCAAAATGATAATATTGCTAGGCATGGTGGCACATACTTGTAATCCCAGCAGCTCAGGAAGCTGAAGCAGGAGGATCACAAGTTCAAAGCCAGCATCAGCAATTTAGTGAGGCCCTAAGCAACTCAGCAAGACTGTCTCTAAATAAAATATAAAAAAGGGCTGTGGCTCAGTTGTTAAGTGCCCTGGGTTCAATCGATGGTACTCCCCTCCAAAAAAAAAAATAAATAAAATAAAATAAAATAAATAAATAAAATTCAAGACCAGTGTCAGCAATTTAGGCCCCTTACTGAGACCCTGTCTCAAAATAAAAAATAAAAAGGACTGGGGAAATGGCTTAGTGGTTAAGATCCCCTGAGTTCAATCTCCAATACCAAAAGGAAAAAAAAAAAGAAGAAGAGGTATTAAGTGATAAATTTCAATAAATGTAAAGCTTTTACTTGGCTTTATGTGCTTATTTTAGAATCAGGCACTTCATCTTCAAAAATAAGTGTTCTCAGCCAGCCTCAGCGAAAGTGAGGTGTTAAGCAACTCAGTGAGAGCCTGTCTCTAGACAAAATACAAAATAGAGCTAGGGATGTGGCTCCGTGGTCAAGAGCCCCTGAGTTCAATCCCCAATATCCCAAAAAACAAAACAGAAACAAGTGTTCTCATGTGTTTGTCAGTAGAGAAGAGATACCACCAGAAGAGGGTCCAAAGGAACCGCAGAAGGGGGATCTCAGGAGAAGTGGGTTTCTTAACACACACAATGGAAATTACTTTCAGCATGTGTCAGTAGAGGCACAGAGATTTATCTAGGAAAGCAGGGAACACACATTCAAGAGAAATTCAAGAGACTCTCTAGGGGTTCTCAGGCTGCTCTTTTAATATGTGACTTTTTTTTTTAATTGTAGATGGACACCATACCCCTATTTTATTGTGTGCTGAGGATCAAACCCAGTGCCTCACATGTGCAAGGCAAGCGCTCTACCCCTGAGCCCCAGCGACAAAGCGCTTGCCTTGCACATGTGAGGCACTGGGTTCGATCCTCATCACCACATAAAAAATAAATAAAGATATTGTGTCCATATACAATTAAAAATTTTTGTTCTTTTAGATATACATGTCAGTAGAATGTGTTTTGACATACATACATGGAGTATAAGTTCCCATTCTTGAGGTTGTACACGATGTGTAGTTCAATTGGTCGTGTATTCATAGTTGAACACTGAAAAGTTGTCTGATTCATTCTACTGTCTTTCCTATTCCCATCCCCACTCCCTCATTCCCCTTTGTCTAATCCAATGAACTTGTATTCTCCCCTCCACCACCCTTGTTGTGTATTATCATCTACAAATCAGAAAGAACATTTGGCCTTCAGTTTTTGGGGGGATTGGCTTATTTAGTATGATAGTCTCCAGTTCCATCCATTTACTGGCAAATGCCATCAATTTCATTCTTATTTATGGCTGAGTAATATTCCATTGTGTGTATATATATCTCACATTTTCTTAAGCCTTTCATCTGTTAAAGGGCATCTAGGTTGGTTCCATAGCTTTATTGTGAATTGAGCTTCTATAAACACTGATAAGGCTGCACCATTGTAGTATGTGGATTTTAAGTTCTTTGGGTATATGCGGAGGAGTGGAATAACTGGGTCAAATGGTGGTTCCATTCCAAGTTTTCTAAGGAATCTCCATACTGCTTTCCAGAGTGGTTCCACCAATTTGCACCTCACATGTGGTAGGCAAGCGCTCTACCCCTTCAAGGGGGGGGGGGAGTCCTCAGGGGGGATTACTTTGGTATACAGTGTAGGTGTACTCCCCCCCCCACATCCTCACCAACACTTATTATTACTTGTATTCTTGATAATTGCCATCTGACTAGAATGAGATGGAATCTCAATGTAGTTTTGATTTGCATTTCTCTAATTGCGAAGATGTTGAATATTTTTTCCATATATTTGTTGACCATTCACATTCTTCTGTGAAGTGCCTGCTCAATTTCTTTGCCCATTTATTGATTGGGTTATTATTATTATTATTTTTTTGTTAAGTTTTTTGAGTTCTTTGTATTTCCTGGAGATAGTGCTCTACCTGAGGTGTGGGTGGCAAAGATTTTCTCCCATTCTGTAGGCTCTCACTTCATATTCTTCAATATTTCCTTTGCTATGAAGTTCTTAGTTTGATACCATCCCATTTATTGGTTCTTGATTTCCCCTCTTGTACTTTAGAAGTCTTGTTGAGGAAGTCAGTTCCTAAGCCAACATGATGGGGAGTTGGGCCTACATTTTCTTCTAGCAGCTCAGGGTCTCTGGTGTAACACCTAGGTCCTTGATCCACTGTGAGTTGATTTTTGTTCAGGGTGAGAGATAAGGGTTCAAGTTCATTCTGCGACTTGTGGATTCCCAGTTTCCCCAGCGCCATTTGTTAAGAGGCTTTCTTTTCTCCAATGTATGTTTATGGCGCCTTTGACTAGTATGAGAACTTATTTATGTGGGAGTGTCTCTGTGTCTTCTATTCTGTTCCATTGGTCTTCATGTAGTTTGGTGCCAATACCACAATGTTCTTGCTACTATAGCTCTGTAGTCTAACTTAAAGTCTGGTATTGTGATGCCTACTGCTTTGTTTTTCTCACTAAGGATTGCTTTGGCTATTCTGGGCCTCTTATTTTAACAAATAAATTTTATGACTGCTTTTTTCTATTTCTACAAAGGTTTTCATCGTAGAGGTCTTTCACCTCTTTTGTTAGATTGATTCCCAAGTATTTTATTTTCTTTGAATCTATCGTGAGTGGGAGAGTTTTCCTAATTTCTCTTTCAGTCAATTCACCAATGGTGTACAGGAACAACTGATTTATGTGTGGAACCTCCTCTTTTAAATGAAACAAGTGAGGGGTGGGCATGGCTGCCGCAGTCTGGCTGGGCACAAAATAACCGAGCCACCACCGAAGCCTTGTAGATTCAAACAGCAACTCTTTATTCACCGACACTCTGTAGATTCAAACAGCAACTCTTTATTCACCGACACTCTGCACATTCAAACAGCAACTCTTTTTTCCTGAACTCTCACTGATACTCTACTCACACTTCCTGTGAACACCCTGCCTCCACTCGGCTCCGCGCACCAATTCTCTCAGAACCCTGCGAGAACTCAACGTCCAAAGGAGCGGGTGCCTGAGGCAGCAGGATGCGCCCTAATCCTAGCAGGATCCGCCCTAATCCTGGAGCCACCCTATTCCCAGCAGGATCCACCCTAAACCCGGAGCCACCCTAATCCCTGAGCAGGGTCACCTTTCAACCCAAAATGCAATGCGTCATTCCTACTTGGCTATGGCTCTCAGCACATGGTGAGGTATGTGAGGATGATATCAGTCTGGTGGTTCTCAGGTCTTGAGAATCAGATAATGGAGACAACACTGGAAAGTCTCCTAAGTTGGTTTCTTTATATATTGTCTCTTTGTCTCTCTCGACTTAATGTATTTAGTGGATAATTAACAGTGCACAAGGTAATTTTCCTAAGTGGGTAGATCTGGGTAACTTTAAGATTTGCATTCAGGTGCAATGGCACACACCTGTAGTCCCAGTGATTTGGGAGCCTGGGGAAGGAGACTGTAAGTTTAAAGCCAGCTTTAGTGAAACCCTGTATCAAAAGGTTGGGGTTGTAACAGTGGTAGAGTGGGTTCAACCTCCAGTACCCAAAAGATAGAATGTACAGATTCCCCCAAAATTTGGAAGTAATAGTACTGGGAGACAGACTGGCTTGAGGAAAAGACAGGCCTTGAATGATATGCAGAACCTCAGACTAAAATTCAGTTCTCTTGGGGCTGGAGCTGTGGCTCAGGGCTAGAGCACTTGCCTGGCATGTGTGAGGCTCTGGGTTCGATCCTCAGCACTGTATATAAATAAATAAAATAAAAGATCCATTGACAACTAAAAAATATCTTTAAAAAAATGCTATTCTTTGTCTTTTGTCTCCTCTCCACCTACCTTTGATTTCTCTGTCCTGCCTCAGGCTGAGCAACTTTCCTTTTTTGAGGGGCTGGGAATGCAATGCAGGGTCTCACCCAAATTAGGCAAGTGCTCCACCACTGAGTTACCCCCTCGGGCCCTAGATGTTGGTTTTATAGACAGAAAAAGCCTAAGAAAGCAAAAACAAGGAACAAGAAGGGGACTGATCATTTCAGAGTGACTCTAACTAAAGGAAAAGGAGGCAGAACAACAGAAAACTGATTGGTTGACACCAGGTTACTTTAGGATTGGGGGGTTTTGTTTTGTAAAGATGAAAGCTGACAGAACTTCAATTTCATGCTGCTGGAACTGGCTTGTTGGTAATTTTGGCATCTCTTTCCTGACTCCTGGGAAAGTCAGATAATTGTTTCTTTTGGTGGAACCTTAGCAAGCACCTTCATTTTGGGTTTTAGTCTAGTCTGTTGAGGCTACTACAGGAGTTTATTCTAAAACAATGACCTTAAACTTTTATTTAACAAAGGAGGATAAGAATTTAATGAAAGGACAACTCAAGAGTATGGTACTCATTAGATGGAAGTGCTTCTGCTATTATTCTTATCTTAGTAAATAATTCTTTTAAAAAAAATATCGAACACTTTGTGAATTTGCATGTTATCCTCCGGCAGGGGCCATGTTAACCTTCTCTGTATTGTTCCAGTTTTACTATATTGCTGCTGCTATGAGCTCTGCTTTAGTAACTTCTAAATACAATTTCTGATTAATTTTGTAAAGTATTGGCCAAGTGAACCATCAAACTTTATTATTAATAAAAATCTCCTAGTCATACAGTATCTCCAACTGTTACCTCCTAAATGATACCAGCTACAATCCAAGTAGCTCGCAATATATGAGGAGGTTCTGCTCAACAACATTTTTTTTTTTTTCGTTTCATACACTGTGGACTTTGTAAACCAGCTTTGGAATTCATCTCTTTATGACCTTGTTCTGTTTAAAATGCTACCTGAGGCAGGAGGATTGCAAGTTCCAGGCTAGCCTCAGCAACTAAGTTAGGCCTGAATCAACTCAGGAGACTCGAAAGTGTCCCTGGGTTGGGGCTGGGGATGTGGCTCAAGTGGTAGCACGCTCGCCTGGCATGCGTGCGGCCCAGGTTCGATCCTCAGCACCACATACAAACAAAGATGTTGTATCCGCCAAAAACTAAAAAATAAATGTTAAAAAATTCTCTCTCTCTCTCTCTCAAAAAAAAAAAAAAATAAAAAAAGTGTCCCTGGGTTCCATTTCTAGTACAAAAACAAAAAAAGCTACCTGAATAGGGGCTGGGGTTGTGGCTCAGTGGTAGAGTGCTCGCCTAGTGCAGGTGAGGTACTGGGTTCGATGCTTAGCACCACATAAAAATAATTAAAAAAAAAAAAAAAAAATTGTCCCCCCCTACAACAAATATATGTATAAAACTTAAAAAAAAAAAAAAAACAAAAAAGGCAACCTGAATAATACTTAAGATATCAGTAGGCTGGGTGTGGTGGCACATGCCTGTAATCCCAGCAGCTTGGGAGGCTGAGACAGGAGGATCAAAGCCTGCCTCAGCAATGGTGAGGCACTAAGTAACTCAGTTGAGGCCCTGTCTCTAAATAAAATTACAAAATAGGACTCAAAACAAAAACAAAAAAGATACCAGTACAACACATCTTCTCAGCAGCCAGTAGAAAATACTGGCAATGAAGCAAAGGGCCCATGGTAGTGTACACTACAGCAGCTGGAGATACTGCTGCAAGCTTAGTCCTTGTCTCTGATGCCAACCCATGAGGAGGACTCGGTTTTGAGAAAAAGAAAAGAGAAGGTTTATTGCTTTGCTAGGAAAGGAGAAATACTGGGGACTCCTGTCCCAAAGTCTGTGATTCTACCCATCAGCAGGAAGGGGGGGCTTTAAGAGAGGTGATTGAAAGGCTACATTCCAGGCATTCTCTGTTAGAATTGTAACTCACTTGTTAATTTGGGAGGCAGTCATTTCTGAGATCTTCTGGTGCCATCCCCAGAGTTTGGATTATTCCTATGGTGGTGTATACTCAGAGACAGATAACTCTGCCTAGGATGGGAAAGAAAGGTGACCCTGTTTCCCCTGAGATTAGGGAGGGGGAGAGATTAGGGAGGAGCAGGGAGAGAGGAAGAGGAAGAAACATGTTCACTTAAAAAATAAGTTGCAGTGGCAGAGAAGCAAGGGCTATATTCAAAGCATAAAGTAGACCACTGTTACAGAGGGACATTAGGACAAGTGAGACAAGGGTCACGGTCCAGCGACTCTTACATACTGGTAACTGGCCTCATCACTCCTCGCTTCCTTGGCTAAAGTTATATTCTTAATTGGGTCCTAAATGTGACAGGTGAATACCTTGTGAATTACTCACGTGTGAAACTTGAGTTGGAGTAGTGGGTGGGTGTGCTTAAGGTCCTACCAGAGCTGAAACATGACTCCAACCTATGATTCTTGCCTTCGGAATTCTTAATCTCTATTTTTGGCCCAGATCTTCTCTCCTTAGCTTCCAAAGCACATTTTAATTGCCTAAAAGCCATTTGTGAAGGCCCCACAGCACTTCCAAATCAATACTCAAACTAGGCTCCAGATCTCAGGCACTCACCCTGTTCCCCTCCTGCTTCCTATTTCATTTACTGGTAGCTGCATCCATGTTGTCACCCTTCCTAGAACCTCTGAAGTCATCTTTGTCTTCTCTTTTCCAGGATAAACTGTGCCTCTTAAATCTCTCTCAAATTGTCCCCTTTTTCCTTATTTAAGTATCATCATCCCTCACTCACCTGAACTGGTAAGAACTAATTCATACCTTCAAAACTTCCCCTGTTCAGATTTATTCCCTCCTATACTTTCAAAAATACAAATATAATCTCACTTCTGTTACAAAACCTTCCATGGCTCTCCTATTCACAAAAAGGCAAAATCTACATCTTTTAGGGTAGCTTTTGGTCTCAGCTACTCTGAAAAGCCTTGACTTCTTTGACCACACTATTTGGAGTTGATCTCCCCTTCATTCTGTCACTTTGTGTTTTATTTATGGCTCTTAGCACATTCTGTAATTCCCTTGTCTGATTATGAACTTATTATTTGTCCTCCCTCGCCCTTTTTGTAAGGTCTATGTGGGTCTGTGATTTTTTTTTTTTAAATTATTTATCTATTTTATTTTGGTACAGGGGACTGAACTCAGGGCACTCAACCACTGAGCCACATCCCCAGCCTTATTTTATATTTTTATTTAGAGACAGGGTCTCACTGAGTTGCTTGGTGCCTTGCTAAGTTGCTGAGGCTGGCTTTGAACTCGTGATCCTCCTGCCTCAGCCTCCTGAGCGGCTAGGATTACAGGTGTGTGCCACTGTGGCTGTGATTTTATTTTTCAAAGTGAAAAGTAACAACCTACTCCCCCGCCCCCCAGCACAGTCATGGCACAGGGCAGGCACACAACAACCAGGTGCTGAATGAAAGGCCCTCATCTTCCATCTCTCACTTGACTACTCCCCAGGACATTCCTTGTTGTTGAGTTACTTCAAAAATCTCTTTCTCCAAATGAATGTAAAATTATTTGCACTTTTCCTATTTTTTAATTGTTTCCTTTACTTAATGTGCCCTTCTTGCCTGTCTGTCCATTTTTCCTCCTGCCTCAGCCTCCCTGGTTGCTAGAACTGCAGGTGTAAACCACCCCACCCAGCCCAAATCCTGACTTTTCTATCAGGATATTTCAAAAGTTACAGCTCATGTGACCTTGATTCCATCCCCTTGTGTAGTTCTTTGTAAATGTCTCCGGCATGTAGAATGATACCTAGCACATTCTAGGTACTAAATAAATATTCATCACTTCTGCTACATTGCTATCTCCCTCATTCTAGGGAAGGCCGAAACAGCTTATTTGGAACAGCTATAGGCCAAAATCACAAAGGTTTAATGTCCACCTGTTTCTTTTTCAATATTTTCTGAGATGCCTGGCAAAGGACAGTATGAGCTGAAGTTCCCATTCTTTAATTCATAAAGCACACCTTGCTTAGCATTTGGATGGCCATCTTAAGTGACAGCCACCATTGTAAGGAAAAGTTTCACTTTCCCGCCCAAGGGCATTTCTGAGAAAGGCTCACCACTCCCTCACACCAACCCAACCCTAACCACCTGCAGCAGGACCTGCTGGTCTCTGATTCCTGAGCTTGCCCTATAAAAGTCCTGGATCCCAACCCTGTTTTGCCTCTCTCCACTATAGAGATGGCCTTTATTTGTCACTCTGACAAATAAACTCTTGTGCGCAGCTCTTTGATTTCTCACATACCCATCTCTCGTTCCTTGCTTTCCCTTCATTCTGGTGCTGAAACCCGGGATCGGGTTCCCCAGTGTGCCCACTCCCCTCTTCGAGGGTCAGGCCCCAATCCAGATTCCATCAGGAGACCAGGCCCCCCATTCTGCCAAATGTCCTCTCCACACCCACCACTGGACATTGCAGATAAGACCCCTGTTCTCTAGTTGACCTAAACGACCTACAGGTCCTGGGACTCCCACGGTTACTGTATGGTCAGGGATATCCCCAGCCACAGCTTCCACAGCTACGGCTGATCCCTACTGTTGACCGGGTCTATAGGTGGCCTTTTATTTGAGTTCTGGGTTTTGAGAAAAAACCACCAAGGGTGATTGGGAGTTAATCCTGGTGAGATGATCTCTCAGCCTTGGGTTAATCTCTATGGGCTTCTGCCCCTTCTACATAGTCCTCGCTGGGTGTCCAAGTGCCTCTACAGGGTCCTGCCCCAATGCTTACCCACCGGTGGTGACAACCCCCTGAGCGTAACCCTCCTCTTGACTAGGTGATACTAGAGACTGGGGGACACCCCACCTCTAAAATCACCATGGGCAGCTCCTCATCCATTCCCTCCCATAGTCCCCCAGGCTGCCTCCTTGCTAACCTAGGGTCTCTCTCACCCTGGACCTAAACCCCCCAAAACTTATCCGCTTGTGCAATCAGATCTGGCCTCAAGATCCTTTGGACAATGTAGCCACTTAATGGCACTCTAGATCCCAATATTACCAGAGGCCTTTTCAACTATGTGAGCGTTCTGGAAAATGGAAAGAGATATCCTATGTTCAGGTCTTCTCCTCTCTGCATTCCAAGCTCTCTCTCTGCAACTCCTGCACAAGTCCTCTGAGCTCTCACCTCCCCTAAGTCTGCTTCCAAAGGGACAGAAGATTCTACCCAGGACTCCTTCTCCTTCGACCCAGCGGATGAACCCCTGCCATCCCACGATTCTCTTTCTAATGAAGCCTCCGGGCCACTGTCCCCTGGGCCCCTCTGCCCTTCTGTCCTCCTACCACACGTTCATGGGCTGCCGCTGCCCAGCCTGCCTCTCTGTGTCCTCTACTCGAGGTGGCTGGGTAGATGGCATAATCCAGGTTCAGGTGCCTTTCTCTTTGTCAAATCTTTCACAATAGAAAAGCAGCTGGGGTCCGATACTTCATGTCCCACTTCAAGTACATATATCAAAGAGTTTCAGCATCTGACCCCATCACGATTCGACCTTCCCTGATGTCCACATGATCTTGTCTAACACCCTCCTGCCCGAGGAGCACAGTGAGTTTGGGAGCAAGCTAGAAATTATGCTGATGGGGTACATCAGACCTCCGCTGCCCATCCCATCGGCACTGATGCGATCCCAATCAGGACCCCAGTGGGATTATAATTTGCCTGGAGAA